AAGGTCAAAATCAAAATTTACTTAAAAAGGTGGATGGAAGAAATTGTTGACCTTACTGAATAGATAATTTATGTATATCTATCATATAGTTAATAAGGGATAAAAACATACAAACATACAAACATACATGCAATATTTTATTATATTGAATATTGAATTCATTATAACTTAAATTTTAATAAGATTAATCATAACATACTGTTTTTTATCATATTAGTTATAGTGACATTGTGGTGTGAGCTACTTATATCCATATAAGTAGTATATAATGATAATCAGAAACAGAATGTATTTCAGTAAAAGATCAAGAACGAAAGAATAAGGACAGAAAGTAATTGGACTGATATTGGCAAAAAGGAACAATCAAGTTTGAGACGATGGATTAGTATTTTGTAAATTAAGTATTCAATGTATGGTTCTTAGATTTTAGTGAGATGTTCTGTAATTGTGGTGTTTGAATGAATTGATGATTCCTTTATACATGTTGATTGCTTGATTTCGAATTCAAAATACAGTACATTCGTTCGTGCTTATATAGTACTTCTTGATCCAATTGTGTTATTTCTGCGATTCTTAGTTAGTACTGTAGGGCCAGTGAAATGTCACTGAGCCCTAGCCAAATCATCCGGCAGTTGGATCACTGAATGTCGAACAGATCGTCGCTCCCTGCCAAGGTCATGTACAAAAAACGCGCATTGGTTAATCATACGCCATGGACTGGCCCATGCGGCAGTGGTCTTACTTTCGCTTGTATCTACTTTAACTAATATATTTCTGTAATAACGTCCTTTGTGTTGTACAGTCTTCAAAGCATCTATAGTACCTTGTTATGTCAATGGGGGTAGTCCACGTAAGGTGCTGACCACAAGGTGTGACTTCGACGTTAGTTGGTTCGTCACACTATTCACGTCTAAGTCGAGTAGGCCACCAATCATTTCGACATAGATCATCTACGTTGGTGATCTACAGTACTATAGTTCAAATACTTCTAATTATCACAGTAATGTTGTGTTCAACTTCATTCGATTGTCCCCACTCGTGTTCTTGTTCACTACAATATGACTTTGAAACTATTTTAAAGAGTGTGATAAATAGAGATTATAAGTTTTATCTTTAACTCAAATTAAATGGTTTTCAGGAGATTGTCTTTAGTTTTAGCAATGAAATTCGGTGAAGAGACTACTTAAAGTTATTTTCTTTTAGTTTACGACTCCATGTAGCTGAATTCTGGATTAAATTTGCAATACACAAGTTTCACGGTGTAAACGGTGATATGGTCTAATCGGCACGGGAAAAACGTCAGACCCTTTCCACAACCTTAAACAGCCTCACAAGAGGCGGTGATTCCGTATTTCAAATGCTGTGGGTTTGTTGGATGTCCGTTGGGTTGCACGGCTATCAGAAATTCTCATTTAAGTGGTCTTTTGCTGCAGCAAAACCACAAAATCATTGCGAAAAACATTGATTTAGCTCTCTTTCTCTTGCATGACACTTTGATTGCGGTCTATTTTTGACTTGTTGAACGGTGAATTTCACTTCCCTGAGTTTTTATTGTTACAAATAACCAAATTAGGCTGACTAAACATTCACTCAGGTTGTAAGCGATAAATAAGTCAAACTACTAATAAACTGAAATAAAAGCTATGTAACAAGCACAAACATCACGAAAATTGACGTGTGACGGAAAAAATGCTGTTAATAGCTGATAAATAACGATATCTGAAAATCCCAGGGCTTAATGTCCTAACCGTGCCAGTCTAATCATGGTTTTATATCATACATATATGTATGAACTATAGTTTTCTGTTACAAAACTAATTTTTTGAACTGTTAATTTTTGATCTTATTGCTAGAACTGCGGTTAGATTTTGTATCAGTTTAAACCCATTTTTATCTTTTCACTTTCATATTGTTTGTAGGAACATTGGAAACAGGTGTTTATTCCCAGCTGACATAACGTTTTAGGTTGGTAAAACCAGGGAAATATCACTGAGCTCTAATGAAATCATCTGGCAGTTCGTTAACTGGATTTCAAATAGTTCACTGATCCTCGTCAATATCAAGAAAAAGTAACGCTCATCGGTTTAATTGCACACCATGAACTGATCCGTGCGGCAAGCATCTCAATCTCTTCCTTATACATATTCATACTAATATATTTTTGTTATAACGTCGTTTGTGTTATATAGTCTTCAAGGCAGCCATAATACGTTGATACGGCAAAAGGGTAATTCACGTTAAGTACTAACCCCAAGGTGGGACTTTGACGTTAGCGGGTTGCTCTTACTCGGATATGACCTCAATTATCCAACATAGATCATCAATTTAGTGATTTATAAGTGATTATTCATCGCTTTATCAATAGAAATAAAGTCCTGCACCTACTTTTTGCTTAGGGAACATTATCAGTAATCATGATATTGTCTAATCATTTTTAGTTAAGTTTCTTGCCTGAGATGGATAATTCAATTGTGAAACTTTCAATGCTCTTCTGAATAATCACGCACTCAAGGTTGACAGATAGAGCTCTTGATCATATGAGCAGAAATTCGAGTACTTTATTTCAACCTGAATTTTTTGCCGAATACGTTGTTTATTGAAAGCTCTACGATCAAATAATTCAGACCAGAGGATGTAACTAGAGCAGAATCATCCAATTAATGTACAAATCTGTTGAATCAAAACGTATCTGGTATTAAGAACTAGTTGATGTACTATTTTACAGAATCAGTTATTTGTTTTACCTGAAAAGCGAATCATATTAAGGCACGAAAGTTCAGAAATGCTTGTTTAGATTCACATTCCTCGTCACCGCGGCAAACGAAAGATTGTTTAGGGAATTTCGATGCTTGGTGCTAGTCACATAACTACAAGGAAGAAAGCATTCCAGATCATTTTATTACTGTTATTGGCAGAGAAGCATATAGTTTGGTAAAGAACCTTATATATCCTGACAAACCTATTCTGCTTTCGCTCGACAAACTAATTAGATTATTAACAGATAATTTTCGCGTAACATCGCTCGAAACACGTGAGTGAGCACAGTTCAACCAATTGGTTCATGCTCCGAATCAGAGCATTGGAGATTTTATAATACAGCTTCAGATGCAAGCTTAAGCGTGATTTCGGTGGATGACTGGATATTCAACTCCGTGACCGCCTGAGTGTAAGTATAAACGATTATAAATTAAAGAAGCGGCTAACACAAATTCATTCCTGAACGTTTCAGACATCACAGGACTTTTGTTTTACTTATGAAGATGTTAATGATGATCATCGTGGCGCCGTTACGAAACAATATGAAGGTTCACTATCAAATGCGGAAAATTTTTCTACATAGCAGAAAGCTAAGACTCCTAACAAGAACAGTTGTGATTCAGTCAGACATATGAATAATTCGAAACGCATTTTGAATTCGTCTGTGTTTGTTCAATCCCGTTATTCATGCGTTAGCCTGCATCTTCGCGGATAATGTCAGTTCCATTATGCACGTTACTTTATGTGTGAAAAAGGTGGATATGCACAAAAGTCTTTTGAAGTTTCAATTAGTTTACTACTAAAACACTGAATAATGGTGGATCAAGATCAGCTGATTCCGAGTAAAGGATAAGTTAGTAATCTCTCACTACTGCCAGCGGGAGTACTTCACATTTCATGCAAAAATTAATTGATAACACAGAAAACTCCCACTTCTTTTTGACACTGACAGTATAGAACCAATTATTTCTTAGCGAAATTTATTGTTTGTTTATAATGATTTTTATTAAAAGCTCAAAAACAGTGCGATCACTGACCACCAGTTTACAATTTTGGGTATAGCTATTATTTTCGATTGAGGAATAAAGAGGGTGGTCCAGTTAACATTCGTTTACCAGTTACTATGGTCTATCTGTAATTGTTTTAAAGGGCCTGAAATTACTTTGAGTTCTCCTTTCTTTATTCACCAATCCATCTAATATTGCCGTAGTCGAAGATACAGTCTTACAATGCTCAAAGGTTGAGGGAAGTATGAAAATTCACCCAGTACATTCGGAACTTAAGAGAGAGTCTGTCTTCTTAAAATGTAGACTGATTACATATGGTTTAATAGAGGTTGTGATGAATGAGCTAGACAAACTGGTTGGAAAAGTGATAATAATGTCATTCGAGTCTTGCAGTTGGATTTCTTCAGTTGTGACTTCATTAAAGATAGATTGAAAAACATCCGAAATTTGTGGTGATTACCTTTTGACACTGAATAATCCAAATTTGAGACAGACAAAATAATAAAATCGTATTGGTAAGCAGCTGGGAAAAATTAACAGAAATACAAATAAACCCAAACTATATTATAGACAAATAGACCGAAGATCAACGTGTTTCGGCGTCGGTGAATGACTAACGAATCCTGTCCTTACCGGAGTGACTACATCCACCCCAGTGGATAGATTCATGTAGAAATTTGACAAACGCTTACTTACTCATGGATTACCATCTCCATCTCGGACTCGTTTTGCCGGATGCACGCCTCGCAATTTACCCACTCTTATCATAATTGTATACTGGTAACTTATTGCACTCTCTTCTATTATCGGCTCCGTTTTGTTTTTTCTTCTGACACTCACGTCTACTTGCACTGTCTGCATTACTAATTAATCAACTCACATATCTGTTTATTTACCCCTTGAAAAAATCGTCTTTTATTTGCACTCTAATTTTCTCTTTACCATTTACATGTTGTAGCCGGCGAGCCTCCTGCATGGTTAAATGATAACTGCTGGTATGCAGAAACCCCATCGACCTCAGACAAACTCACTCAAATTACAGTATATGCAAATTCATAAATAACTATCAAACTGACTATAATCAGTGCAGTCAAGTGGCTGAACCATCATCCGCTTAACATTACCAACTACGTGTGACCGTAACGAAACATCAAGAAGAGAATGCAAAGGAATCAGTTGACTTATACAAACTCGTGACAGTGATATTGGATACTGGACAAAGAAATTAAAGGACCGCTTCTTTAGAAAGGTGCGTTACTGACTATGTTAGATACTAAATTTGGTTTCTAGCTTTGCTTTAGAAGTAAGACACTTATTTTTCATCATTTTCCCCACTAAAATTGTTCACTGTACTAATGAAAATGTATGAGACGTATATAAATGTCATGTGAATGCTACAAACTTTTTCAATTTAAGATGATAATTATCATATGCTTCAAGTTCTTAAGCTTACGTTGACTGATAATAGACACTGCCTTCATATGTGTGTTCGCACTTCGTTAATGTCAAACACTTTCCGTGTGTTAGATTTTTCTTGTGATTTGTAGTCTTAATTGTAATTCTAAATGTCCTTCGTGGTTAATGTCACACATTATTGAGTATTCTGTTTTCAAGTGGTATGTTTTCTTCTTAATTCACTGCGTTTAGTGCGTGAAACTAGCTTGTCCGTTGTGTTCAAGTATATAAGGTATCGTGCAATACACGTAGCTTGGAAGCATACTTTTACTAGACCCCGAGCTCCCAATTTCGGGGGAAATTTGGCACATTTTCGGGAAATGGCACAAAAGCCCCGAAATTTCCCCAGACCTGAGGGCATCCCCAAAGTTTCCCCAAACTTTGGGGAAGGCCATTTCTTTTTGGGGATTTCCCCAAAGTTGGGAGCTTGGGACATGCCGCCCAACTGAAGATTCCAAACGACAACGGGTTAAAATCAATAAGCCGTCGCAACCCTCTTGCACAGTGATATTAATACACCTCATGAGCTTCGAATGGTATTTACTTATTAAAGCCTAGGCTTCTCAAGGTTTCCTACTTGAAGAACAGGCTTCGAAATATTAGTATTTTGTTAGGTTCATGCAGAATAAAGCAGTATTGTCGATCCGTTTCACGACTCAAGTTTAGTTTGGGTCAAATGCTTGCCATACAACGTAAATTATTTTACATCTTTGTTGCTCTGCTGTTTCAAAATTGTCTCGACTCGATCGTTAGATGTTTATTTTTTACTGTTATTGTTTCATAATGTCTGTTCAAAGTTGGATTCCATACCACGTATGCTTCGGTAGTATTGCGCGTGTGGGTGACATCTTAAATTTGCAGTTATTTACGCTTCTCTATCGCGTCTTTCCAATCGATTACTAATTCGTCTTTCATAATCATCGTTGGATTTTACTGACATCTCACTGTACTGCTCTCTTAGTCACACCCCGTAATAACCATGTATTACTTAACAATACAGTAACCCCGATTTTCGATATTTATATCTTTTGCCTTCACATGGGCCTAAACTGGGTGTATTTTAGTTTCGATAAACCTTTTTGTTAAATTTAACTTTTTTCAGTTGATGTTAACCTATACCACTGAAGCTTCTGGAGAACGTGAAGAAACATCTCTAAAGTGGGCCAAATTACTTTCCGTGCATGATTCATTCATGCATGAACTTTCTCAGGAAGTAATTACTATTGGATCATCTGAAGGTCCTTTTTCCTTCTTTTTAATCATTTCAAATAATTTTGTATTCGTTATTCAGAATGTATGATTGTTATAAAACATGAAGAAGTTTCAAGTCCACATTGCCTTTTGATGAAAGATCCAGACGATGTCATATGGTTGTACGATTGTAGCAAGACTGGGACACGTTGTAATGATGGCAAGTGGTTACAGCAAGATTGTGTCACGCTTCACACTGGTGACTATTTCTACCTTTTATGGGATGAAGTAGATGTGACTAAGCGTAGGTTTATCTATACTGCCAGAAAAGAATAATATTTATGTGCCTGTTTCTTAAGGAGTTGGATTCTGCGTTCTTTTTGTTGATGATTTTAAACTTTTGGCTTCCTCTGGTGAGTCTAATAAGATCAAAACTACGGAACTACCGTTACAACCATCATCATCATCATCACCACAGTTTATGAAGCCATCAACATCAAATGATGATACTGATTTAGAAAATTGCTTAACATGTGTTATTTGTGGAGATATCTATTTCGAGTGTTGTAGGTATGTTGACTACACTTGCCCGTATGATATGTCGGTTTTTCCAACACAGTGTTCAACCGTGTTTACACAGTTTCTGCACACTCTGTTGGTTGAGATGTAAAAGATATGAATGTCCAATGGTAAGTCAGATTGTATTATTTCCTTGATTATTTTCTCTTCCCATTATGTTTGCTTTAAGTGTCGTAAATCAGTGTCAGCGTATGCTAAAAATCACCAATTAAATAATTTAGTTGATGTATTCCTTCGTAAACATCCAGGTAAGAATTCTTACGTTTGATGATGTGTATGTCTTATCATCATTATTTTATTTATAGAGAAGTTAAAATCTGAATCCGAACAAAATGAAATAAAGCAAGAAATTGCAAGATTAACACGCGTAAGCGCATAATATATTATGGAACTTCTAAAATTAAATTTTATTAGCTTCCAAATCACACTCGTCGATACAATAATCGAACTAGAAGGTATGTGTATGTATGAAAGAGTGAGAGAATAATTTTTTTGTTTATGTTGTTCTACTTATCACCATATCTTAATTGGTTTTGTTTATTGAAAATAAATACACATCTGAAGTTGTTTGGAGTGTAATAATCTTTATGATACATTTCTCTCTAAATGTCAGATATAGATTGGGAACTGCTCTTAGTCATTACCCTGACTAGTCAAACGACACAAAGTGGTTGGGTGCTTTGACTATGCTTAACTATAAACTCATCAAATCTGATTCTTTGGTTTGCTGACGATATTTCGGCGAGGATTCAAAACACTACTTTATCGTCCATCAGTTCTCACCACCTCTGATGTAGACAAAATCACCATTGGTGAGGATACTGTGCAGTCGTCCAATTTATGTAGCTCTTCCGTCGAGTGGGGCTCAAGCTTTGAGTACATAAGTAGGTTACTAGTATTTTACCATATCGTCCCTTCGAAATACTAGTGTCATACGATGGAACAACAAAACAAGAAAGAGTGTAGTGAGTTAGCTGGTGGGACTATGTGTTTTCGTCTAGTGAGAAGTTTTCTACATATCTCCGAATACTGCATATATCGACCGTGACTTGCGCAGTAGTAGGTTAAAGGAAAAGTAAGGGTAAGCAAACCAAAACACTACATCACTCCAGAAAGTCACTTAGTGTTGAACTGAGCCATGTTTGTAGGTACAAACTAGTACAATCAAGTTATAGTCCGCATGTTTATATTGATTAATGGTTAGACGGTTTTAATGATAGAACTCTTAAGTTGGTCACATTTGTGCAAAGCCGTTTATTTCTTATCTTCTGATTGTTTATTTTCAGTGTTATTTCGTACGTTTTGTTTCTTGATTTCATTTTTGCTTTTTGGACCATAAGCTTTATACTTAATCTTTTTCATACTATGATTGATACTACTATTATTTCGACTTACTTGCTTTCACCCCATTAATTTCATCCTATTATGCTAATATAGTGTGGTAATTTGGGCTAATGCTTATTTATGCCAGGTCTTACATTGATCGTGACCAATTTTAGTCACTGAAGACAATAAATTCCATTTATTAGTTAAATTTCTTACCTCTTCGTTTCTTTTTCTCTATATATCGATTTCGTTTAGGAATAGAGAGAGAATTACTCTTCCTGGTGGTGACTATGGTTTACTGAGTAGTTCCTCTGGCGTCTTTCCTGTTGTTCCGACCATCACTACCACCGCAACAACTCGCAGTGTTTCTTCTGGTCCGATAATTATGCCCACTTCCTTACCGATGAGTGCTGGTTGTGTTATATGTTCATGGTTACCACCATCATATGACCGTCGTGGCAATAGTATGACAAGTATTAGTGGCATTACTCTTGGCGACCATGGTCCAAGAATTGAAGAATGTGAGTTTATTCCGGTATAAATACATAATATGTATGTTTATGGTCGTTAGATAACAACCTTTTTTGAATTCATAATATTACAAATCAACAGTATCCACATTAAACTAAGAAATTTAAGTTTATCTACAAACGTATTCACATGGTATTACGATACATACTTCAGTCTGTAATGTGTAATATTTTTCAGCTCGTTAAATGCCGTTAAGATGCATGTTAGTGGTTGTCATTTCTCAGGTTTTTCATACTGTAGTACCTGAAAAGGATAATGAGTTAGTAGTGACTTTGTTCACCTAGAAGTACCGTCTCAGAGCCAAAGGGCAGCTGGTTGAGGTTGGTCAAACATGACCTTTCTGAGTAGTTTTTATTGTGTTAGTTCCATGCTTTTGAGGCGTTACTACCGGTATCGAAAGTCAAAGTAAGGTGTATTGTTTTTAGAACCTACCTTTTCTAAACCCCTCCTCTGTGGGAAAGTAGCATAGTTAAAGATAATAATTATCTGCGGGGAAAACATTAGTACCATTCAACCTCAGTACACTTGATGTTACGACTTTTCTCTTAGATCTTGAATTTACCACTTTTAATCCTACCCCTCTCAGGTCGACTTACCTGAGGAGGGGAAACCTTATGGAACAAGTGTTCAAACCATTATAACGTGGTTAGATTGTCACAATAATCTGTTTAATTATGATTACTATTATATATGAGAGTGGATACTGAGAACTGAGAACAATTGATTTCTAGTTAATAATTTGAAAATTCTTGATAATTTAGGGTAAAGTGCCAATCCAAAATTAATATTTGCACTAACTGACCACTAGACATTACCCTATGTTATACTTGTGTTGTCCTTTGTTCTAATTAAACACTATTGGTCAATAAGTTGAAATGTGACTACTCTAAATGAATCGACATTATGCGCACTAGTGTTTTAGCTTGATATGGTGTTTGGTCATCAGCAACGAGCCTTATCTGTATATTCTTAGTAGTCGATACTTCGGTGAATTTCTTTAGTGAGCCATTGGAAAACAGTGCTTATGGTCCATAAAATAAATGACAATAGAATGGGTAAAACCGCAGTTTCATATGGTATAGCTCTATTTCCTGTTTTCTATTCACTTGTGCTTTGATACTTGATTTCGTGATCGAATATATTTAGTCATCCATTCTAGCCTAGTAATCGTGCGACTAGTCTTCTTTACAATATTTTATTACCCGTTTCTTCTGCTGTAGAATACCATAAATTCTTCAAATATTGAAAGACTCCACATTAGCGCCAGACTTTTGGTAGCCGCCCAACAAATATTAGAATGCAATAGAAAGTCGTCATAAATTATCCAAATGTTGTGTGAATACTCATTTGTTCATATGTAGATTATGTTGAGAACACAAATTAATCATTTCTAAATCGTTTTTTTATTTGCCCCAAGTTAACTCACTATCAAAACATGTTACTGATGATATACTGACCAATATGCGCTTATAGCGTACACGTGCTAAAACAGATTAAGACGACTGTAATACGGCATCCATATTGTTGTCCCATAACATCATTTCGTTGATTCTCCAGTGATTCTTATCATAAATACTGTAGTGGAGATTGGGGCTATTTGGTACTTTTCACTTGACTATTTATGACTTCATAAGGAATTTGTGGAGAAAATGATCGAATTGTGATAGAAAAGCAGCTTTACAGAAATGCAGTTTTTGGTTTTATGTTTGCAAATCTCATAAATTACTCAAAGACTCTGTAGGAATAAATTTGTGTTTCATTAGCCTCTCTTATTTATTTATTCATTTAAACACATAAACATTAGTACAAGGAGGCACCATATAGATATGCGCCACATAAATTATTCGGTTTATGAGAGGGCTGGGATCGTACCCGGGTGCCCAAACCGAAGCAGGTGGCTTTCTTAGGGGACCACACCTGGAGCCTTCGACCTAAAGGTCTAATCCACAGAGCAGTGAAGTGACTTCAGGAGATGCCGTCCAATGGTAGCTGGTCATCAACAATTGGTTCATACTCCATTTGTTCCTTTAGGATCCTGGAACCCGTGTATACCATTGGTTTGGAATCAGGGTTTTCCAACTGCCTTAGGTGGACTCTCCGTGTCTACCATTTCGGTTAAAGCACCGGACATTCGGTTTTCGTCCTCTCAAGTTCGTAAACAACACCCCTTTCGCGAGAATGTAGTGAATAGGACTTCCCTGTCAGTGGTTGTATGCACGTGGCCATGTGAAAGCATTTGGAGAGGGAGAGCTGACTCTCCCCACTCTCGGCCGTACCAGGGCATTAGCTTCTCTAACAAAATATATTCAATTGAGATAATTTGTGATCCTCATTGTATGGTTGGCAACATAAAGATTTCATAATCATTTCTGGTTCTGTGCTTCAAAGTTGGTAATATGCAGTACAGAGATCAGTTAATCAAAATTGAGTAAAATGACTCTTGTATTCTGTGTCAAATTCAAAACAATGAATGATTTATCTTAAAACGTGAAACAACCAGAAGAAATACTTTTGTACAATAATATGAACGTTTAAAATTATGATGGAAATCAATGTTTTCTCGTTTGCATAATAAAAATATTAACATTAAACTTATCAAATACTCAATTCTTTCTATGTAGATTGTATATATAACATGCAAATCAACCCTAAATCTAAATTTATAATCCTAATTATAACCAGGAAATTTGGGAACTCCTAAAAGACTATTTTCATCCTTATATAGGTCCGAGTAGATGAATATTCTATAGCCATATGGATGCATTTGTCACTGTTTTTCGGCCAACAGACATAAAAATCTGTAGAAGACTTCAATAGATTCATGAATTATATTAAAATCTTTGTGGTATTATTGTTTCTCCTCATAAAATATTCATTTACAATAACTTTATTGGTAAGTGTTTAAATTATCTTGTTGTTAATATTGAAAACTGAATTTCGATCAGTCCTGGCTAAAATAGGTGCTTCCAATGATAATTACCATGGTTTAGCCATTCTTCTCAAGTTATGTGGAACAGATAAATTGTGGCTATCAGAGGAATCCTGAAACTCTCATTTCTTTCTAATTAGAACTTGTCAGTTAGGACATATCTCCATCAAAAATCTCATGTTCACACTTTGACTCGAACCCAATCTTCGAACCTCAATGGGTTGTCCGCTAAGATCCTGAATCCAGATACCTACTAACTTGTTCGGTGGGTATGATGTTTATTCCAATTTTAGTTACAATTCACTTGTTATAAGTAATTTGTGAAAATGTATCCAGGCGATCCGCATATGCTGCACATATACTAATAAAGACTGATCAAAAGATAGTCAAGAATATCAAAAAACCGGGTAAATTAAAGCCTCATTGATAAAGATATAAATACCATATCCGTTGGACAATTTAGTGGCTACGTCAATCTAGTAAGCAATGCGTTCGTGTTTAAAACGAAAGTTACAGTCGTAGTGTCGGTTACTATATTAAGTCCATATAACTTATTATACCTTCTGGACAGGCCAGTTTATCCATTCTTCATAAGTCACGTTTTGACACTATTAATTATTCGCTTATTAACCCTGCCTGTTTTTATCTGAGCGTATGTGTGTGTACATTTAATCCTACTTATCACACATCTATAACTTATTTTTGGGTGGTTATGAATATAAATTAACGCTTGATTAGATCGAATTGGCTCGCAGGCCTTATCCACTGCGCATCATTTCGTTTCGCTTCGCTCCTTTGATCGTCTGCCTGGATCAATAATTGTACAAAATATACGTATTCAAACATTCGTTCTCGTATTTGACTTATTTTAATTCCGTTATTCGCTAACGCGAGTTAAGTCGATAATTAGATGCGAAGATTACTTACTTACTTACTTACGCCTGTTACTCCTCGTGAAGGAGCATAGGCCTCTCACCAGCATTCTCCATCCAACCCGGTCCCAAGCAATCCTCTCCAGCTATTTCCAGTTGTTATTCATCCTTTCCATATCTGCTTCTATTTCCCGACGTAATGTGTTTTTTGGCCTTCCTCTTTTCCGCTTCCCTTCAGGATTCCAAGTTAGGGCTTGCCTCGTGATGCAGTTTGACGATTTGCGTAATGTATGTCCTATCCATTCCCGTCATGTTTTCCTAATTTCCTCTTCAGTTGGAAACTGGTTTATTCTCTCCCACAGTAGGCTGTTTCTGATGGTATCTGGCCAATGAATGTTGAGTATCTTGTGTAGACAGTTATTTATAAATACTTGTACCTTCTTGATAGTGGTTGTAGTCATTTTCCAAGTTTCAGCTCCGTACAGTAGAACTGCCTTGATGTTCGCATTGAAGATTCTCACTTTGATATTGGTTGAAAGTTGTTTTGAGTTCCATATGTTATTCAATTGTAGGAATGCGGCCCTTGCTTTGCCAATCATCGCCTTTACGTCTGCATTTGAACCTCCCTCTCCATCGATGATGCTTCCCGGGCATATGAAGAATTCTACGTCTTCCAGAGTTTCGCCATCAAGAGTGATTGGATTGCTGTTCTCTGTGTTGTATTTGAGGATTTTGGTTCTCCCCTTGTGTACGTTGAGGCCTACTGATGCAGAGGCTGCTGCTACACTGAATGTCTTTATCTGCATTTGTTCGTGTGTATGCGATAGGTGGGCAGGTCATTTGCGAAGTTCAAGTCGTCTAATTGATTCTGAGCTGTCCATTATATTCCGTGGTTTCCTTCAGATGTCGAGGTCTTCATAATCCAGTCGACCACCAGAAGAAAGAGGAAGGGGGAGAGAATGCGGACTTGTCTGTCTCCGGTCCTTACTTGGAATGCATCTGTCAGCTGTCCTCCATGCACGACTTCGCCCTGTGGTCCGTCGTACGAGTTCCGGATAATATTGACAATCTTCTCAGGAACTCTGTAGTGCCGAAGAAGTTTCCATAATGTCCTATCTACACTGTTAAATGCCTTTTCATAATCAATGAAGTTGATGTATAGTGACGAGTTCCACTCAACTGATTGTTCGACGATGATCTGTAGTGTTGCAATTTGGTCTGTGCACGACCGATCCTTACGGAATCCAGCTTGTTGATCTCGAAGTTGGGCGTCTACTGCATCCTTCATCCGGTTCAGCGAAACTCTGTTAAAGACTTTCCCTGGTATTGACAGTAGTGTAATGCCTCTGTAGTTTTCACATTTGCTCAGATCTCCTTTCTTTGGGATCTTGACGAGGTGTCCTTCTTTCCAGTCCATCGGCACTTGTTCCTCCTCCCAAATCTTTTTGAATAGAAGGTAAAGCATGCTTGTGGCTACTTCGACGTCTGATTTCAGTGCTTCAGCTGGTATGTTGTCGGGTCCTGCTGCTTTCCCGTTCTTGATTTGTCTGACGGCCATTCTAATTTCTTCCGTCGTTGGTGGGTTGACATCTATAGGAAGATCTGTGTGTGCTGCTTCGATGTTCGGTGGATCCATTGGAGCCGGCCTATTCAGGAGTTCCTCGATGTATTCTACCCATCTGTTTTGCTGTTGTTGAATTTCAGTGATTGGCTTGCCTTCTTTGTCTTTGACCGGCCTCTCTGGTTTACTGTATTTCCCTGCTAGTTTCTTCGTTGTATCGTAAAGCTGTTTCATATTTCCTTCTCTAGCAGCTTTTTCTGCCGTCGTTGCTAATCCTTCCACGTATTTCTTCCTGTCGGCTCTAATGCTCCTCTTCACTTGCTTGTTTGCTTTTATGTATTCAGCTTGTGCTCGGGAGACAAAAATGGTGAGCCCGTCGACAACATAATCCGATCTAATTAACGTCAAAATGAAGGGCCCCATTAAAGTGGTGAGCCATATAGGATAATCGATTTCAGATTGGATGAGAGCGTTTATCATCGTTCTGGATAATGCATCTGCCACTTCGTTATTATTGTCTTTAATGTACTGTATGTTAGACGTGAATTGGGAAATAAATTCTAATTGCCTAATTTTCCTCGGCGAACAGTTTTCCTGCTTGGTGTTTAGTGCTTTCGTGAGGGGTTTATGATCTGTATACACTGTGAAAATGGTACCCTCGATCACATGTCGGAAATGCTTTATTGCCAAGTAAATCGCCAACAGTTCTCTTCCGAACGTACTATATCTCGTTTCAATAAGACTGAATCTCTTCGATAAAAATGTAAGTGGTTCCCATGTGCCATTTACTAACTGCTGCAGTACAGCTCCCGCTGCTACGTTCTATGCGTCCGTCATGACGGCTAGTGGCTCTTCTCTCTTTCGTCGTACTAACATGGTCTTCTCATCTAGTGCTCTCTTAGCGTTCTCAAACGCATGTATAGCCTCTGTTGATACACCGAATGTTCGGGCATGTCCTCACAAAGCGTCCGTCAATGGTTGTAATACAGTTGCGCAGTTTGGAATAAATTGTCTATATTAGTTCATTAGTCTCATGAATCGTCGTAATTTTCTTTGTGACTCGGGCAACTTCTGGCGTGATACCTTGAGAATTTATCATATGACCCAGGAATTGCGATGACTCTATTCCAGGTTCACACTTCTCCACATTAATAGTGACGCCATGTTCTTGAAGTTTCGTAAACTATCGTAGATGTTCTTCCACGGTAGCGCTAGCTACTAGTATATCATCGATATATGCATATACATATACATAAAAGACCTGACAATGACAGTAGAAAAAGCTGCAGGAGAAGCGACTATGATACAGCAAAGAAGATGGCAGGAAAATATGGTAAACCAGTTCGACCAGTCAAGAACAAAGAAGGCAAGCTAATCACAGCCACTTTTGACTGTGATCTTGCACAAATGTTGTTTCATATTTTATGGTACGATGTGGTCTGTCTGGTTTGTGTATAAACCCAGTATGTTTGAAATAAATGATTCATATCGTAGAGGCGGAGATTGGTGTTCTGAACTTAACAGGCTAGGTAGGTGAGGAAGCAGGATCGCTACGGGCTCTAGGCTGCTCGTACAGGTTTTATGCGTGATTGGTCCGGTCGATAATTCACTGTTTTGTAATTTGCGGTATCATCACTTTATAGATTGATAGGGGCACAAACCCACAAGTCCTAACAATTGGCGATGGGATGAAGAACAAAGAACCCAGGGCACAAAACTAAAAGATATGACATTATTGAAGTCAGATATAGGGGAAATTAGCCTTTACAAACTACAGAGGCATCACACTAATATATCAGTGCCGGAAGAAGTTTTCAATAGTATTGTTGAGCCGAATAAAAGATTCAGTAGAAGCTCAAATTTGCTATCAAAAGACTGGATTCCGTACGGATCGGTCATATGCAGACCGTTGTTGAGCAATCACGTGAATAAAATTCGTCACTATTCGTCAACTTCCTTGACTATGAGAAGCATTTGACAGTATGGATAGGAGAACCTTATGGAATCTTCTTCGACACTGTGATGTACTTGAAAAGATCATCATCATCTTATGGAATTCTTATGACGGAATACGATGCAACGTCGTGCACGGAGGTCAGGTGAAGGATGCACTCCAAGTGAAGACTGATGTCAGACAAGGCTGCTTATTTTAACCCTTTCTCTTCCTTCTGGTGCTCGACTGGATTCTGAAGACTGGTACATCTGAGGGGAAGCATGGAATATAATTGACAGCTTGGATGCAGCTGGCCTTCGCAGATAATCTTGCTCTTCTATCCCGTATGCAACAATACGCTTCAACATAAGGGGAGAATAGGAATATTAGGAATGAACACTGGAGGCGGATAGGACATACATTTTGGAAATCATCAAACTGCCTCACGAGACAAACCCTAACTTAGAATCCTAATGACAAAAAAGGTTGTAAACCAAAGCATATATTGCACCAAGAATTGAAGGAAGATATCAAAAGAATGAATAGAACGTGAAAAATCCACAAAGGGGACCCAGGAAAAAGTTGTTTGAAGAACCCTTAATGGCTCCTTATGTTCCCACGAGAATTAACAGGTGTAACCGAGTAAATAATATATAAGCATATTATTTCACCACAGGAAAAGTCTGTGATGCTGATTTTCGGTTGTGTCGTCTCTCATTAGCAGTTCTTTCAGAGTATATGTCTATTATTCAGTTTTTGAAAGTGATTGTTAGTTAACCACATTGTATCACTGCGTAATATGTATTGACCAACATTTTGTTGATCATCATATCTAATTCAAAAACTTTTTCCACCATAATACCATCATTTATATGTATGTGATATGTTTAGCTTTATTACTCGATGTTATGAGATCTGTGCTCATATTTCTGTACTTTTGAAATGTCATCAATCAATACAATAGGCTTATTACATTTATTTGATTATAGTCTATCAGTAGCACATCCTTGAGTATATAACTACAATGATCCTGATTACTCTGTTATTAATAATAATTAACATTTCAGGTTAATCAACCAATAAGAGATACAGTTTTCTTTATATCGAATTTTGTTATCCCATCAATTATTCAATGTTGTCATTTCTCATCACGAATTTAGTTCGGTCAAGAATTGATCATTCAATTCATTCTTTTTTCTATAATTCGATTTAATATTTTTCTTTAGGTTCAGCGCATTGTTATTGTACATGTTGTAATAGACCAATGCCTAGTCGAACAACAACAATTTCACAACTACATAACATAAATCGAACAGAATGTGAAGTGTGCCGGCGTACATTTTGTTCTTTAATCAATCCATATGGATGTTCAACATGTGATGGTTATTGTTTATCTCGTGTACAAGGTGAGTAATCACGTGTCCACTAGTGAATGTTGTACTAAGTTGGCACACATAGTTATCAGCGTAGAAAGGGTTAATTAGTAATAATATTGATCTTAGTAACCAATAGAAGCAGAGAATTATATGTAAAGATTCTGTTTTTATCATTGTTTACATTACGGATCAGTTTCTATTGGTAATATATGTCTCCTAACCGAACTAAACCAACTTAGACTTTTAATAAATTTAGGTCGTAGCTTGTGGTAGAATCCAAGACTCATATTTTGTCCTTTTGGGGACTTGCTAGTCACTAATTAAAAGCTATATTGGAGCAGTCCTCTCAAGATAGACATATGTTACTAGAGACCGGTGATTATTAGCAAACTGGAAAGATAACATTTCTACATGTAATTTAACAACCGTTGAACGAGTTAGTGGTCATCTGAAAAAAGTAGTTCGATTAGTAGCTCATTGAAGTGATGGGTATTGGGTTCAAGTCTAAGTGTGAACATGAGCTCTACGATCCAGGTACATCTAAATGGCAAGTCCTAAACAGAACAAAGTTCAAATTCACTTGGTGTTGTTTTACTTGTATCTTCCCATTGTTATTTAGGACTGCAATTGATCAGTCTCATGTTGGCATATGTGCATCCTGTGCGGATTGCCTCGATATAGCCTTACGTCACAAGCTTTTTAAGCAAAGATGGATAGTAGCTAGCAGTGGAATCCAATATTCAGGTTCCCGGGGTGAAAATCAACTCTGCGATGCAGGTACATCCGGCTGACGAGTCCCAAATGGGACGAAACGCGCGTCCTGGATTCCACTGTAAGCTACAATTAAAATGAAGAATATAGTTTGAGAATAAATAATAAGATGGAAGTTTTAAAGTAAGTGATGATCGAATTCATCTGTCAGTGCTACAAATCTAAGTTCATTACACTTAGAATTTCAAATCATAGCTGACGACCATTGCACGAAACTCAATCAGGACGTTTGTCCCTCTCGAAACTGCTTGGATCACTAATCAAGAAATGAATGAATTGATGTTGTTATGGCGTAACTTAACCTCTCTTAATCTTCATCCAGTCTGCTTCTAAACTGGTGTAATGGCTCCCGGAAAGCCCAGAGAAGCTTCTGGAGAGTCTAAAGGAGCCTAAGAGGTTCCACCCAATCACAACCGAACTTTCTAGAATATCGACATGGTATGCTATGATTGGACAATCGTATAATTTCGTGCTTCCGGATTGATTGGATTATAATGTTATAGTCTATACTAAAAACTACGAATACTCCTATCTTTCTGTACACTTTTTGATACTCAATAACCGCTTCTACGTTCTTCCGTCTTTTGATTCGCGACTGTGGGCTTCTTCGTGTTAGAGTGCCGACAGCCGTATATCGTATTAGCTGTATTCAAGTAGAGGACATAACATAAACTGGCTTTTGTTGTACGTTCGAGTATGTGTTGGTGGTTTAGCCCCCAAATGCCCTGGTAAGGCTGAGAGTGGGGAGACTCAGCTCTCCCTCTCCAAATGCTCTCACATGGCCATGCGTATACAGCCACAGCCAGGGAAGTCCCATTCACTGCCTTCTCGCGAAAGGGGTGTTGTTTATGAAAATGAGAGGACGAAAACCGAATCTCTGACTCTTTAACGGGTTCGGTGGACACGGAGAGTCGACCCAAGGGAGTTGGAAAACCCTGATTCCAAACCAATGATATACATGGGTTCCAGGATCCTAAAGGAACAAATGGCGTATGAACCAATTGTTGGTGACCAGCTACCATGGGACTGCATCTCCTCACTTTACTCCACCGCCTTGTTGACTAGACCTTTGGGTCGAAGGCTCCGGGTGTGGTCCCCTAAGAAAACCACATGCTTCAGTCTGGGCACACAGGCACTATCACAGCCCACACACAAATCAAGCGACTTGTGTGGTGCATATTGACAAAATTTCACCAGTTAAATTCTTTTTCTTGATATTTCATTTATTGGATATCTCTAAATGAGTTCCTTGTCTCGAATATTTCAGATTTGACTAGATACAATTCAATACCTCGTAATTTATTATTGAATAATCGTATAGAGACAAGGATTCTTGATGTAAGTTATTTATCTTGAGAGAAAGAATTTTACATTCTTTTTCTTCCCAAGATTTTTTATTTTTATTTTAGGTACAACCATATATATATATATAATATTCTGTTATCTGATTCAATCACTAATGCATCCTCTTAACGCTTGATCAACTCTAGTATAGATCGGGTGAAGACGAAGACTGTGTACGCAGCTGTATTGTCGAATGATACTTAACGTTCATCAGTCAGTCAGCAACAATGTAAAACTTCGTACGTACGTATGTCAGTTCGAGTCGTCATACCACATTAGCACAGCGAAGCAATTGTCGATGCAAATCCCATAGTGGTAGAGGTAATAAAATTATTAGCAGTAATTAGGGTTTGAAGATGTTATTCAGGGAGTATAATCCAGTGAAATAAGTTTCGAAAGAGAAAAGAAGGGAGATGAATAAATTGGAAGATTAGAATTTGGGAGAATACACAGAGTGGATGCACCTGCGCCATTACAAACGATTTTGAACCATGTCATTCAAGGTCTCTAACCATCGGTTGCTATCGTCTCATGGATCCCAACCGGGTAGTCTACACCTACCAACACGGCTTAGTCCACTTGTCAGTGACTTCATGGATTTGTGCCATGTTTTGGTCTGGCCGCCCCCTCGGTGGTTGGGGATACGTAACACATGCCCCAGCCATCTCAACTGATGAAGTTTCAGTACTTCATCAATTGATTTGTCATCCTTACCTAGTACCCGTTTTCTAATAACTGAATTACTTACTCGATGGTCCCAGGATATACGAACAATGTTTCGAAGACATCTGTGATCGAATAACAGTAACCTACGAATATCCTCTACTCTTACCGGCCATGTTTCACTGCCATAAAGTAGGACGGAACGAACTGCTGCGCAGTAAACCCGTCCTTTGGTTGATAGACGGATATCTCGCCTACGCCATAAATGACGTAAGTTGGCAAAAGCTAGTCGAGCCTTCTGTATCCGTGCTGAGATTTCTTCACACGTTTATTAATGGCCAGAATGGCCCAAATAACTACATCAATAATCCATTTTACTTAAAATGACCCACTTTTACATGTTCCTTACCTACCTTGAGTTATCGTGTAATTTGTCTTATTTGGCTCCGAGTATCATATAAAAGTAACTATTTGGTTAAATAGCATGTAACCACTGTTACTACAGTGCATTTAATTCCATTTGCCAACTATTTCCTACACAGTTCTAGGAACATAAAATTAACTACTTATTTGTTACAAGTAAAATTGTGGTATGCGCTACTTATTCATATAATTAGTGTATAACGATAGTCAGAGATAGAATGTATTTCAGTAGAAGATCAAGAAGGAAAGAATGGGAACAGAAAGAAATCGGTATGGAAATGCAAGAACAATGAAATCTGAGACGTTTGACTGATATTTCCAAAAGGAGCAGTCACGTCTGAAACAATTGATTGGTATTTGGCAAATTAAGTATTTACCTTATAGTTGTCAGATTTTAGTGAGATATTCTGTAATTTTGTGTTCAAATACATTTGATTGTACTCACTCATGTTCTTGTTCACTATAGAGTCTCAATGTTATTTATTCATATGAAGGGAAATTATTTGTTAAATTTAATACTATCTCTGGATCAGTTCTTTGAATGATAAACGTTGATTTCTGCTTTCTCAAGCATTTTGACACTTTCTCATATCAAGCACTATATCTAGTCATTTGACATTTTTGAACGTATAGTAGTCAAGAATTATTTCTTCATGTAGTGATTTTTTGATGACTTAGAATTGTAATTCTCCAATTGCCTATAGTATGTAACCACTTTTTAAGAAGGAAAAATCATGTTAATTATATCTGTTGGTTATAAATAATTATCAGTATAGGGTTGTGGAGATTGTTGAATTTCTTTGAGATCATAGACCGGTTTTTTGGACCTTTGGAAACTTGAAAGCACCGGACATCCTTTTCGTTGTAGCACGGAACTCCTCAACAATGTGAATTCCTGATCACACACGTAGAACTCTGACCCAGAACCCTCGATTTCGCGAGCGAACGCTTAACAGTTAGTTTTACAATATTGTAAATACATGTTCATACAATAAATTATTGATTAATCAATGTCAAGTACTACTCAGTTTGATGTATACAAATCTGACTGTTAATCATTACAAACTATATGAAACTTCATATTCATTTTGGTTGTCAAATAAATCCTCATCTATCGTCCTTATGTTCTTATTTGCGACGTAAGTTTCACGGGTTTAATTATTCACTAACAGTTACCTGCCGTTACAACAATTGTCGATGGGTATTTTGGTAAATAAAATAAATCTTCCTCTACAGTCGGTTTTCGTGTTCTTATTTGCATCTTGGAAATTGCAGAGGTTTTCAGTATCAAGTATCACACTACATCTCACGGTTATAATACCCTAATTTAAATATTATCGGCTGTTTGAATCTGATTATCTCTGTCCAACATCGTTTGTTTGAATTACAAACAACAGAAGGATTTTTCGACTGATATTGTTTATTCAAACCATCTATTTCAATATGATGTTCACTTCAATGAATCGATTCGATTATGTTCATTTGACATTATGTAGTGTTACCATGCTTTGTTTAAAGGTATGATATATCCATTTAAATTATTATAATATCAGATGGGTTTTGTGGAGATTGTAGTAATTTTTTTGGTTAAGCTCATGAGTCAGTTGAAGTTAGACCATCATGGAAAACCTGGAAACACTGGAGTCCCACAATAGGACGAAACGGCCGTCTAGTGCTTCCAGGTTTTCCATGGTGGTCTAGCTTCAACTGACTCATGATCTTAACCATTTAAATTATTTTACTTCAACAATCTGATGCATGTCAATCAGTGTGAACGACTTCAATTATTCGATTGACTTTTCATATACTGATTCGTTCGGTATCAGGATATGAACATGATAATAAACAAAACTATAAAACAAACTAAAGTAATTCTGACGAATGTCTGGCTACATTGGAAAATATCATTTTTGACATAATATCTGAAAATGTACTGGATTTGATATAATTTAGGATAATTGGCGTTTACTAACAGATAAAACAGCCCCCCAACTGTAATCAGTTTTCAACGGAAATTACCTTAATAGTGTACAAGCTTCATGAAATCACCCAACTTAGTAGTAACCTTCCGGAGCTGGTCTTCACCACAGATTGAACTCATTTTGGATACCATGAATCGATTGTAGTTAGATCTGTATACCGTCGGATGTCAACTCAACGGTCTAGAGGATCCAACCCCTGATGAGATCTCATAATGTAAATAAACAGCTGTCTAACGCTTTCTGATTTTCAGTAATATCCAATCTGAGGTCAATCTTTGGTTAATATCACCTCCGTACACAATGGGTTCACCTAGAGGAGTTGGGAAATCCTGATTCCAAATCAATGGTCAACATGAGCTCCAAAATCCTGAAGGAACAAATGGCGTATGAACTAATTGTTGGTCACCGGCTACCATAGGACCGTATCTCCTTACGCTGCTCCACTGCCTTGTAGATCAGGCCTTCAGGTCGAAGGCTCAGTGTGTGGGGTTCCCTTGGGAAAACCACCTGCTTCGGTCTGGGCATTCGGGCAGTATCATAGCCCACACACAAACCAAGTAACTTGTGTGTGCATCTTTTTACCAGTATTTATAGAAATAACCTCTAGATAGAACGTATATTAAAGAAACTATTGATTTATAAACTTATTGTTTCTATTTCTTCTCTTAGGATTATCTTACCTCTCAGGGTATTTCAATTCCAACATTTATCAATCATTGTTTAACATTTTATATTAATACAACATCAATTTATTCATCATGTATATTAAATAGAAATTCATTAATTTGTAAAAATTGTAGTGAACGTTTACTTAGTCAATTAGCTTATCAATATCGTTTATCTATATGTCCAAATGAATTACCAACTGATGTCATTATTAAACCAAATTGTTATTATGGACAATATTGTCGTTATCAAAGTTATAATTATAATCATGCTAGACGTTTTAATCATATTTGTGAAAGATCAATTTAATTTAATTTTCATTTAATTTAATGATATTCTTTCATCTCCCTTCTTTTTAAAAGAAGGGAGATGAATACTACTTTTTTTTGCCAATAAGTAGTCATTAGTAGTATATACAGCTTCTTTTTTCCCTTTTTGTTGTTGTTATTGATTTATTAATCTGTATGACAATCTCTAATATATTTTATTGAAGATTTCTGCATTTACCTTATAGAAATTGTTCTATTTTGTTGTGTTTAAGAGTCATAGAGACTAATAATACAATTACCATTTTTGTCTTTTTTTTCTCCTTTTGATTATTTTTCTTTCCCCTTGAGAAAAAAAATTTTTTTTCAAATCAGAATTGTTAAAATTTCTTTTAAATAAATTGAATATTCATCATAATAGTTGAGATCAAGTTAATTAAGGCTACACTACCATGGAGAACCTGGAAGCACTGGACGACCGTTTGGTCCTACTGTGGAACTCCTCAGCATTCATTGATTTAGTGTGTATTTATGTATTTTTGTTTGGATATATCTGTTCACTTTGGAAAACAATGAATCAATGGATACATGTAGTTACTGTTAAATAAGCTTTTCGGTGAGATTATAGTTTATGGATGACCTTTGAACGACGCTAAAGTGACTTTGAGAGCGTTTGCCTATAATAACTAGGACAAAATGAGGGTTATAAGCCTGTGTAGAGAATTCGAATTACGATTTACTGTTGATAGTTAGGAGCTAGGAATTAGATTTTGAGTTTTCATCACGAACTGACATCAGCTATAATGCCAAAACTGTATTTAGCTAAATAGATGGGTGAATTTCGCGCCAAAATTCGAGTCCTGTTATCTTATACCTGATTGGTTCGTCCATAAATTGTAGTCTCGCCGGTTTTTCTACTGAATTTATAATTAAAACCTTTAGAACAAGGATAATGTATGCGAAAATACGGATTAATTGACAATAATCGCAGGCTCCAATCGTTTGCATAGAATAATTATTCATCAGTTATTAATAATAGTGATGAATAGCATCTGTAATTCGGTTTAACAGTCTGCTTAGTGGCTCGTACGGACTTGAGAACTCGAAATTTCGATTATAAATAGAGTGACATGCACTATTGAAGTCTGTAAAAAAAGGTTGTTTGTGAACTTACGCCTGTTACTCCTCGTCAAAGGCATTGGCCGACTACTAGCACTCTCCACCCAACCCTGTCCTGGGAAATCCTTTCCAGCTCTTCCCAGTTATTATCCATCCTTTTCATATCTGATTCTATTTCCCGACGTAATCTGTTGTTTGGCCTCCCTCTTTTCCGCTTCCCTTCAGCATTACAAATTAGGGCTTGTCTCGTGATGCAGTTTGGTGATTTCCCTAATGTATGTCCATCCATTCCCATCGTGTTTTCCTAATTTCCTCTTCAGCAGGAGTTGGTTTGTTCTCTCCCACAAAAGGCTGTTGCTGATGATATCCGACCAACGGACATTGAGTATCTTGCGTAGACAACTGTTTATAAGTGCTCGTAGCTTTTTGATGATGGTTGTAGTAGTTCTCGAAGTTTTAGCTCCGTATAGTAGAATTATCTTGACGTTCGTATTGAAAATTGTGACTTTGATATTGGTTGAAAGTTGTTTTGAGTTCCATATGTTCTTCAACTGTAGGAATGCGGCCCTTGCTTTGCTAATCCTCGCCTTTACGTCTGCATCGGATCCTCCTTGTTCATCGATTAGGCTTCCCAGGTATGTGAAGGATTCTACATCTTCCAGAGTTTCGCCATTAAGTGTGATTGGATTGCTGTTCTCCGTGTTGCATTTGAGGACTTTGGTTTTCCGTTTGTGTATACTGAGGCCTACTGATGCAGAGGCTGCTGCTACACTGGGTGTCTTTATCTGCATTTGTTCGTGTGTATGCGATAGGAGGGCAAGGTCATCTGCGAAGTCCATATCGTCTAATTGGTTCTGAGCTGGCCATTGTATTCCGTGTTTTCTCTCAGATGTCGAGGTCTTCATAATCCAGTCGACCACCAGAAGAAAGAGGAAGGGAGTGAGTGGACAGCCTTGTCTGACTCCGGTCTTACTTGGAATGCGTCTGTCAGCTGTTCTCCATGCACAACCTTGTTCTGTAGTCCGTCGTATGAGTTCCGGATAATGTCGACAATCTTCTCAGGAACTCCGTAGTGTCGAAGAATTTTCCATAATGTCCTCCCATCTACACTGTAAAATGCCTCCTTATAATCAATGAAGTTGATGTACAGTGACGAGTCCCACTCAATCGGTTGTTCAGCGATGATCCGTAGTGTCGCAATTTGGTCTGTGTTGGGATATTCAGGAAAATATCCCAAAAAATTATCCTGTTAGGCCTAATGCTATCCTTGGACATGAAATGGTATCATCTTATTGGTCACTATTTATTCAACGTGTTATTTTCCTGTTGGCCAATATTGTACAATGTTATTTTCTATTTTGTGATACGTTGTGGTCTGCTTGACTGGTATATAAACAAAGTATGTTGAAATATAATGATTCATATATCCGAGGCTGAGACTTGCGTTCTGGACTTAACTGGCTGGGCTAGACAGGGAAGCGGGACCAATCAGAACCCTAGGTCGTTCTACGTGTTTGCGCGTCTTTGGTCCGATCAATAGTTCGCTACCCCTTAATCAGCAGTATTTTTCACGTTATAACAGTCTGTTTATGAACGGTGAATTCTATAATAACAACATGGAAAACTGTGCAAATTAGTGTATACCGAATTGGTAAATGTATTTGCGAATGAAATAGGATATACCTGAACGACGTTCCACTCAGCAGTTGCAGTCACTATTATTATAATTTAGTAGTATCAGATAGGAATAGTAAACGATTAAACATTAGGAATGGGTATCACCTACTTGGAGAAGAATAAAGAGGATCCTAACAACACAAGAGTAGTGTTCTAGCCAAAAAAGGGCAGTCTTATCAACAGTTAAATCGCTGTGATGTGATCAATTAACTATTCAAAACAGTAGACTTTCTTAACGCCATCGGGAATAGTTCTAGTCAACTGGATTAATTAGAAGGACGATTATCTACTATGGCAGCTATCGGAATTCGAGATGTAAAATAAAACATGGATGGGACTGATAAACCTAACTGGACGCTAGATTCGGTTTCCTAAGCTCTTTTATTAACCCTCAAGCTAAATCTACACAGCAACTTAGACACCTCGGAAATTATAAGCAATCTGGTAATAATATCTGCAAACCAATCGAAATATAAAATGTGTGGTCAAATATGGCTAACATGGAAACTCGGAATCGAAATAGTATGGCTCGATCATACAGGCGTGGTCACTACGTAACGTAATCCTTCTTCACATTAAATAAATCATCCTATCACCAACCCATATGTGTTCTTCAGATGTGTAAATTATCACCTACTATAATTCAGCGATAATATTCTCGAGTATAAGTATCTATTTTTGCTCGAGTTGTTTCTTAGCCCTGTTAATCACAAAAGTCCTGGTCCTTGTACTTTGTCTAAGAAATTCACGTCTCTTTAGAAGGGAGGAGGTGCAACAATGTTGTGTACTTCATGGTGAGTTTGTGAGTACTCTTTGAACAGTTTTGGGGTGATTGTGTTAAGTTATCTTCATAAAGCTAGGAGTTGCATACAAGCTGTCTGCAAGTAGTAGTTATAAACCTTAGAGTGAATTTTTATACCGTACTTAGTTTGTTCGTGTTTCATGGGTCTGAATGTTTGTGGAGTGGTATTTTGACAGGTTACTTTTCAACCCACTGTCCACTGCTCATTTCCTTATTGTCACAAATTCCTTCTGAAGCTCATGTGGATAAATTTATCCCTTTATAGACCCTCAGATCTTTGCAACATCTGCATTGATTAGTGACTTTGAGTCACTTATTATGACCAGGAAGAGGAGCAGAACTAAGAGGACCTCAGGAGATCGTCCAGCTCTCTCATGTTATTAAGAGATCTGACGCATTTGAACCACCTCTCCCAAACACATATTTTGCTTCATGGATGACGTTTTTTGTTCATGTACTGCGTCATTTGTCCACTGACCACTTCTTCCCTTATCTGTGACAGTATTGGCAGTAATGCTTACAATCTGTACCAAGAAGGATCTACTATATATCCTCCGTTACAGATTGGAGAGGACGTAACCAGTCTCCGTCCTTTTGGAAGTATATATGGCTCTAGGAAGTGCTTGAAAAGATCACACACTAATGAAGCGATTTTTCCCGCACACTGTTTCAGAATTAGAGGGTGGATACTATCACATCTTGGTGACTTCACTTGGAGCAGGAATTTTAGTTTTCTAGTACTAGCCCGGAAACTAGTTGGATACTAACCAGGCGATCAGTTAGCACCATGGTTAAGGAGTGTTCTGTGCTTGTAGCTTTCTCGTCAACCAGTCGACAAAGTTGGTATTGAGGCTTCCTCTCATCCTAATTTGACAGAATATCCACCATTTTCGCCCTTCAAGAGCACAAATCTCCTGGTCTGCAGGTTTGTGGAATTATAGTTTACTTGGGTTTTCGCACATTTATGTTTGTTACTATTACGATAGACGTTATCCCGAAATTGTGAACTTTTCATGACGTGACTACCTAATCCATAAGATCTTACGTGGAAGTCACATCACTGTCTATTCTGACTCGTATCGTGCAATCAGCAATACAATGTTTAGCACTTCTGAAGAATACATTTAGCTGGTGATAGAATAATATGTTTTAATGTGAACAGGGATTCGTTACACTGATGACCACGCCTGTATGATCGAACCATGTGTGGTGTTTGAGTGAACTAATGATTCCTTTGTACTTGTTGAATGGTTGATTTCGAGTTCTAAATACAGTACATACGTTTGTGTTTTTCTAGTACTTCTTGATCCGATTACGTTATTTCTGGGATTTTTAGTTTATACCATAATTCAAATAATTCTAATCATTACACCATGCCATCACGAATAATTGCTGCTGCCTTCACGATTGCTGACCTCTCCGTGTTAAGTGTTGAACGTGAGTTATAATAGTTATCTCATATTTAGCTTTGAGGATCGTGTGGTTAGAAACAATATTACTACAGATTTTGTTTCAGTCATGAATCTGTAGCAAAATTTATGGTTAACTTGCATTTTGGCCGCTCCTGTCGCTTTAGGTTTTGCATTGCATCTGTTTGTCAATAACAAGCAACAGCTACAGTCATAATGTTTCGGAGCGACTTCCTAGTTGTGCCAGGTTCTTTGTTTATCATGTGGCAAGCATTCGGTGCCACTGTTATTCTGAGATCTACCAACTCAGGAGTGTTCCTCACCTGAGGTGAATTGAGTAGAACAGCACTCTGAATGTTGCCTTTATTTAGAAGAGTTATGAAGTCTCATGATGAAAACCAAGTTCCTTCGGAAGTCACGAGGCCGATATCCCTTCTGACAACCAAAGCAACCATTAATTAAAGTACACTGGTTGTT